TCGTATAAGCTATGACTACTGCGTTATCAAATTAATATAACCTATATTAACACACACAGACACAGCACACACACACACACAACACACACCACGCGCGCGCCACGGCACAAACACACACACCACACACACACACACACAGCACACACAACACGGCGTCGCGCGCACACACCCATTAACACGCGACGCGGCGCACACACGCACACAACCACACGCCACGGCCACCACACACGACACACAGCAGCACACACACACACACACCACACACAACACACCACACACACATTAACACCCCACACACAACACATACACATGCAGCACTACCGCACACGCACACGCACACGCACACGCACACGCACACTACACGCACACAACCACACTCCTCTTGTCGATCTCTCATTGTCGGCGTTCGGTATTTGTTCACAAGGCCGTATTTCACGGTTCTAATTTCCCTTACGTTCTGCGTCTGGCATGGCGTCACTATCACAAATAATTAGCTGTATACGCTTTACACCCACTCATATCTGTATCGCTAGCGGCGCACACGAGGTATTTTATCGCCGGATCGCGGCGCATTAAAAATCGCATGCGCAATTTTAATCGCCCGATCACGAAGGGGGCCACACGCTAGCGAATTTAATCGCCGCATTTTACATCACATGATAGCAACAACACGTCCGTATTGATTTAGAAAAATCGATCGGCTGCGAACAATACGCGGTGACAGGCGCACACGAACGGCGAAATTTCTAGCCAACCGTAAATAATCGACGGCGTAAATAATCGCCGGAAATATTCTAACCATTATTGGATGTTACGGGCGATTGCGTGCGGGCGATTAAAATCGGCGTCCGTGGTGAACGGGCACACGGTTTGCGATTTTTCGAGCGCATTTTAAATTCGCGGCGATTTCGGGCCGATAAAAATCGGCTGTGTGGCCCTACCTTATACGTCCAAATTTTTTTTGTATCATATTATCCCTGACATGATGAGCGGACCTCGTGCATTTGCTTTGCGCCAGATTTAACCGCCTCGGTTGATTCGATGTATGCGACATGATTAATAGTAGTTGTTATACTGAAACGTCATTTACATACTTATTATACTTGTCAATTATTATTAACTACAATAAACTTGCTTGTTATACTAAGTGTCGGATAAACATAGACCTATGGAAACGTTGGCGTTGATGCGGGGTGATGCCGGTATTGTTTTGTGTTTCCTTGGTTTAATAGGATTCATTTCACTTGTATAGTTTTCATACATATAGTCATTTTGTCATTTAGTATAATATTCATGTTAGCCATACATAGTTTCATGCCATATAGAATACGAGTAATTTCTCAGGTTTGATAGGTTAACGGTTATGGGGTAGATTTAGTTTTCTGGTAGGACGAAAATTCAAGTGCGTTTATATATGCTATAATATATATGCATATGTCTATTATAAGTGCGTAATTTGAGGTTATATATTGCAAAAGTTATATTACATATCAGTATTAATATCTTTCGCTTAGTGTGATCGCATACACAGACATCGGTAAGCTACGATCATTGCACGCACGCGGCTCTCTCTCTTTCTCTCTCTCTCTCTCTCTTCTCTCTCATCTCTCTCTTGTTCTCTCTTCTCTCTCTCTCTCTCTCCGCCCCATCTCTCTCGGCTGTCTGTATCTGTTTCTCATCTTCGCCTTGTGCTCTCTCTCTCATCGTCGCCACGCGATGCGCCCGAGCAAGACCGCCAGCTTTCACTTACAGTTAATGAGCGCATTTTAAAGTGTGCGCCGCCCGCATCCGGTGCTGCGGCCGTTGACGAGTCCGCGTTGGCGATTAGCGACGCGGCCATTGCGGCGAACGCGCGCGCGGCGTCGTGCGCTACGGTAATTGATGAGAGGGGCGGCTGAATGCTCACCGCTGCTGCTACATGCGGCGGGGTGATGATGTCGTTAGAGAGGCGTGCTCTATGAGCCGCTCGCTTATGCAGTGTCGACCCGTGTGTCGTGCGTTCGTGCGTTGTGCGTGTGCGTCTGCGTGTGTGTGTGATGTGATGTGTGTGTGTGCGATGTGTGCGTGGTGTGTGTGTGTGATGTGTGTGTGTGTTGTGTGTGTGTGTGTGTGAGTGGTGTGTGTGTGTGTGTGTGTGTGTGTGTGTGTGGTCGTGTGTGTGTGTGTGTGACTGTGTGTGTGTGGCGTGTGTGTGTGATGTCACCGCCACCGTCATAGGGAACGCTGCATGATTAATCGCTAACTCATTCACAAATATATATTAGATATATAACGCAGGCTCCCACACACGCACGCGCGCACACACATACGCACAAACACGCACGGCACACACGCCGCACTCGTATAATCACGACCCATGCAACAGACGCACTATGACACACGTGCACGCGCGGCGCCGACACACACACACACACACACCACACAACATCACACACACCACACACACACACACACACGCCAACACAACACAGTGACACAACACACACACACACACACACACGCACGAGCACGCACGCACGCACGCACGGCAGCACGACCGCAAGCGCGCACGCACGAGGGACGCTCCATATTGGCATATAGTTCTTGTGAATAACAAACGCTACTACCACGCACCATTGCAGACCGCTCGCTGCGCGCATAACACACAGCGGAGAGGATCCATTGGCACATATGACGAGAATGCAGCAACAACGCGCTTACGTATTAACTGCGCGCGTGATGTTACCTGTTTGTGCTGAAGTTTCGCGCGTATGCGCGGAACACCGTCTCTCTCTTCTTCATAAGATACACCTTGCGCAAAACACGCCGCCGACATTTCATGCATCGGCCGCCACCACCGTGAACGGGTATGCCGTTCGCTAAATTAGTGTTGAATTCATGAGGCGGCGGATGAGCCGCGCGGTGAGTTCCCTTAATCGCTTGCGAGCCCTGCCGAAAACGCTTCAATTAGATTGGCGCCGTGGGTCAGTGAGGCCCGACGGGTTTAGTGGGACGCCAAACCCGGCGGCAGGCTACTGCGTCACGCTAACTGTGAATCGACCCGTCGCTCACTTATCAAGGCCGGACGATGTAGCGGGGATACGGTATTGCATACATTTAAATGCCGGTTGGCGCGATTCCCAGTACGATGGAATCCAGCAGATATTTCCGTTTTTAATTGGGAGAATATCTTCATTATCTTCATATTACGTCCAGGCGGTGTGGTTTTAAATGTGGGTATTTTGCAATTTGCGGCTTCACGGAATTTGTTGGCCGGAAAAGGTTCGCACTTGCGGCGAATTAATTGCGCAGTAACATATACGCATAAAGTACGCCATAACTACAAATTAAATAAGACATATTAACGGATAAACGATTGTGTTTGATGATTAATCTAGGCATGATCGACATTTCCCATGTAACCGTTGGTTACGCGATTATTGTTTTACGTCAAATTGCTTTATTTGTTTATATATTATAATATTTATTATAATATAAATATATCTATGCGCGCTGCGCAGTCATGCTGGCTGCGCGCTGCGCGTTTGTGTCTATTATTGTATTATATCAGTCGATCTTTATTTATATATTTTAATGGTGAAACAAATTACATAAATGTTCCCATGCGCTCACTTTATAGGCCAGCTGAAAGGTGGCTATAAGCAAGATGATTCGAAATGATCGAAGCTTGTCGGAATCCACACGTGTATATAGCTAGAGTGCTTCTGCGCCTATCCGTATAGGAGGCGGTCAGCCTCGCCTACATTGCGTCGGAAAATTACACATGACATTCCTACTTTTCTTAAGTGTGTGTGTGTGTGTGTGTGTGTGTGTGTGTGTGTGTGTGTGTGTGTGTGTATGCTAGTGTATGTGCTGTGCGCGTGTGTATACGTGCGTGCGTACGTGCATGCGTTCGTGCTTGCATGCAATCGTGTGCGCGTGCGTGCGTGTACATATTGCACGTCTTACTAACGCACGGCCCACGTGTCGTTACAGAATGCCAACAACTCTCTGTTTCCGTCGATGAGCGTCAACGTATCCATGTCGATGTCAATGGGATACGGTCACCATGCCAACCAGCAGTGGTCAGCAACGCCTGGCGGCCACCACCAGCACGACCAGTACCACGACCCGAACATCTACCAGTACCGCGCCATCAACCACGTCCCCGAGCCGGAGTCGCACGGGGGATCGCAGCACGTTCCGGCAGCCGACATGCTCGGCGCCGAGGTGCTGTATAACAGACCGCAGAACTACCACGGCGCATCGCGCTCGTTTGTCTCGCACTACATGCTGAAGAAGGCGCGCGGCCTCTACCGGCAGAACGTCGGCGGCGTGCAGGAGAAGTCGTCATCGTCATCGTCATCGTCGTCGTCGGCGGCGGCGAAGATGAGCGGTGCCGAGAAGCCGAATTTATGTCGCATCTGCGGCAAGATGTACGCGCGTCCGAGCACGCTGAAGACGCACATGCGCACGCACTCCGGCGAGAAACCGTACCGCTGCACCGACTGCAACAAGAGCTTCTCACAGGCGGCCAACCTGACGGCGCACATACGCACGCACTCGGGCGAAAAGCCGTTCCACTGTCCGATCTGCGATCGCCAGTTCTCGCAGAGCTCCTCGGTGACGACGCACATGCGCATTCACTCCGGCGAGCGGCCCTACCGCTGCCGACTCTGCTCGAAGTCGTTCTCCGATAGCTCAACGCTGACGAAGCATCTTCGCATACACAGCGGAGAGAAACCCTACCAGTGCAAGCTGTGTCTGTTGAAGTTCTCGCAGAGTGGAAACCTTAAGCGACACCTGCGCGTACACTCGAGCGGCTAACGAGGGGGAAATGAGTGCCGCCTCTCCTCCGCGACGAGTATATATCTTATTTTTCGTATAACACACACACACACACACACACACATTAGGGACACGACGGAAGGGTTACGCGGTGAACAGTCGTGTGACGCGGACGCCGTGCAATAAATAAAGGAGAAATAGGGAAACCACATTATTTAAATCGTATAAATATTAAGTAAATAAATAAATAAATAAACATATAGAATAAATAAATGAAACAAGTAAAAAGAGAAATAAATAATCGAATACATATATTGTATATATATTGTACGTATAAGCATAGATGTATTTCCTTGTCTGTACGCATCCAATCTATTAAAAATAAATAACTGGAAACAGAACGATAAGCGAATGAATTTTAACGACGCGATCTCAATGTATTTTATTCACAGTAATACGTAGTTGCATAGCCAGTTTTACTTACTGTTGTTCCTCCAGTTTCTTTATATTTATATATATATACTATATATAATAGTAATAAATATATATATTAAACTATTATTATACGAGATTCGCAATTGATTGCAGGACTCTAGCGGATTTACTGTATATATATAATTATATATATAATTATATATATCTATAATCAATATACAGTAAAATCCGCGCTAGAGGCCTGCAATCATTGGCGAACTCGTATATTCATATATGTATTTATTAATTAAACAAACGCAGGCATTAGCAGTTTACATTACTGTTGTCACTCAACCTATGTTACTATATTATATATATATATATATATTATATATATCAGTAGAATCCCGCTATAACCCACAATAATGCGACGTAAATCGAATAACTCGTTAAAACTTTTTAATTCGCCCGCTGCAGGCGACCTCACATTTTTTAATACGCGATCGACGTTTCTTGACAGGGACATTCCAGCGTCGATGTTCAAGATGGTAAACGCGTCGCGACATGACGTTGCGGATGTGCTATGTCACTGAAAGCACCGCGATCGTTCACTCGGGTCACTGTTCACCGCTATCATCGACCACCGTCGGTTCACCTTACGTCCGCCGTCGGCCAAGCTACACAAAACACTGGGTCGTATTCGTTAATGGACAAAATGCAAGGCGCCAACGCTCCAGTTCCCGGTGATGGACGCAGCGGCCATCCGGGATGACAGCATGGACATCATCAATGCAGGTAAGGTTCTCGTTGTCGGTTGCTGTATGAATAACATAAATAAATAATGAATAATAAATAAAATAATTGAAATAAATAAATAAAGAAGTAAATTATAATATATATATACAATATATACTTATATGATAGATAGATAGACAGAGAATGAAATAGAGATGGAGATAGAGAGAGGAGAGAGAGAAGAGAGATGAGAGAGAGAGAGAGGAGAGTGCGCAAGGAGAGGGCGAAAGAAATAGGGCGAGATTAGAGATGCAGAGAGAGGAGGGGAAAGAGAAGAGCAGATAGATGAGAGGAGATAGAGGAGAGCGAGAAGAGAGAGGAGAGACGCGCTGCGCGCGCAGCAAAGGGTGCGGGCGAAAGAAAGAGGGAGAGATAGAGTATAAATGAGAGAGGAGGGGAAAGAGAGAGAGAGAGAGGAGAGAGAGAGAGAGAGAAAAAGAAAGATAAAAAGAGAGAGATGAGAATTGGGGAAAGCAGTAATAAGATAATTCTTCATGATGTTCTAGCTGAGACACGTGCTCCGATAGTTCTCATAATAACATATTATGTATTTCGCAAATATCTTTTTTATAGGAGTTTAAAGAGAGCACAATTCATATATCATATACACACACAGTAAGTCTTCCCCCTTGTATAGGGGCGAATACACTGCATATGGGCCTCAGAATACGTCCTGGTCAACGAGTATGCGTTAGCCTAGCTGAAGATTGAACAGCGGACTGTCTTTACATGTGAAATATTATTGTCATGAGCCCTGAATGGTAGAAATAATTATCTCGTAAAACGAACTGTCCGTGCGGATCGAAAATGATTTCACTGAGGCGATGTTTTATTAACTATTCATACTAACCAGTGTGATTCCGATCGTTTGTAATAGCGAAAATGAATCTTTCTTGTTGGCCTTTTTGTATAATACGGGGCCTTTTTTCGTTCGAACAGTTTTAGACATTTTTTTACTTAAGTCCCTAATAAGCCCTCCGTTATCCCGTCGTTTATCGCATATTCCACATATTTTTTGCTCCATCCGCGTTCTTGCCTGCCGGCCGGCCTAATAACCCCCCCCCCCCCCCTGTTGTGAACGTGCGTATGTATGTGTGGATGCGTGGGCGTGTGCGTTGGTGCGTGCGCGTTGCGTCGCTGGTCGTTCCTGGCGTGGTGTGTGCGCGTGCGTGCGTGCTGCTGGCGTCGTGTGTCGTGTGTGTTGTGTGTGTGTGTGCGTGATTGTGTTAGTTTTGTTTGTGTGATGTGTGTATGTCGGCGTGTGTGGTGTCCGTTGTGTGCGATGTGTGTGTGGTGTGTGTGTGTGTGTGTGTGTGTGTGTGTGTGTGTTGTGTGTGTGGTGTGGCCGGGAAATACTCGGCCGAAGCCTGTGTGGTTTGCCTGTGTTGGGTGTGTGTGCGCTGGCGCGTGTGGTGACACACACACACACACACACACGTACACACACACACACACACACACACACACACACACACACACACACGCACGCACGCACGCACGCACGCACGCACCGACCGCAAGCAGCCGCACGCACGCAGGGACGTCCATATAGGATTATTCTTGCGAATAACAACGCTACTACCACCGCCACCATTGCAGACCGCGCGCGCGCATAACACACAGCGGGAGGATCCCATGGCAATATGACGACATGCAGCAACAACGGCTTACCGTCATTACTGGCCGTGATGTTACCTGTTCGTGCTGATTTCGCGCCGTTGCCGCGAACACCGTCTCTCCTCTCTTCATTAAGTACCCTTGCGCAACACGCCGCCGACATTTCATGCACGCCGCACCCACCGTGAGCGGATGCGTTCGCTAATATAGTGTGAATTCATGACCGCGCGGTGAGTTCCTTAATCGCTTGCGAGCTGCGAACAACGCTTCATTAGATTAGGCGCCGTGGGTCAGGTGAGGCCCACGGGTTCTGTGGGACGCCAACCCGGCGGCAGGTACTGCGTCACGCTAACCTGTGATCGACCGTCGCTCCTTATCAAGGCCCGACGATGTAGCGGGATACGGTATGCATCATTAAAATGCCGGTGGCGCGATTCCCAGCTACGATGGAATCCAGAGTATTTCCGTTTTAATTGGGAGAATATCTTCATTATCTTCTATACGTCCAGGGGTGTGGTTAAATCGTGGGTATTTTGCAATTTGGTTCACGGAATTTGTTGGCTGGAAAAGGTCGCACTTGCGGCGAATTACATTGCAGTAACATATACGCATAAAGATACGCATAACTCAAATAAATAAGAATATTAACGGATAAACGATTGGTTTGATTATTAATACTAGGCATAAGATCGACATTTCCCAGTAACCTGTACGCGATTTATTGTTTTACGTCAAATTGTTTATTTGTTTATATATATAACATTTATTATAATATAAATATATATATGCGCGTGCGCGTGCGTGTGCGCGCGTGCGCGTTTGTGTCTATTATGTATTATATCATCGATTTTATTTATTATTTTAATGTGAAACAAATACATAAATGTCCCCATGGCTCACTTTATAGCTCAGTGAAAGTGGCAATAGCAGTGATCGAATGATCGAAGCTTGTCGAATCCACACGTGTTATAGTAGAGTGCTTCTGCGCTATCCGTATAGAGGCGGTCCAGGCCTCCGCTACATGCGTGAGAACACATGACCATTCCTACTTTTCTTTACATTTTCGCCGTTGAATCGAAAATAACGGCGCCGCCGTAAGTTGTTTATTTAGCCAATAATAATGAACAAATCTCTAATAGCAACAATAAGTCAACGCCTAATAGTTACAACTGATTATCCCGTAAGATGCCGCAGTTGTCACCCCCCCCCCACCCACCCACCCACGCGCGCTGGTCGAGCGTTGTCGCCTAAACCGTCTACAGTTGATGACAACCGTGAGGCGTGAATGGACAACGGTCAAACGGGGTGCATCCAGGAACCCCCCTCCCCCATCCCACCACCACCCGACCCCCGCCGCACCGCACCCTTACCCCCCGCTGCCGCTCCCAGCACTGCAAGCAGACGACCGCAGCTCGGCTAGAAAATGCGCGCCTTGTTACCGACCGGCGTCTTAAGAATTTCACCGGGCGTGCCGGACCGCTACACCAACCACCGGTGACCGGTGTCCGGCCCGATGTTTGTTTTGGCTCGCCGCGGGGTGGCGCGTCGACTAATCAGGCGTAATTACCCGCTAATTTGGCAATTGCTGGGATTTGTTGGCCTAGGCGTTGTCCGGGGTGCTTTGTGTTCGCACGTATATGGTCGCTGATGATCACACGCGCCCGCGCGCTTACGTACTTGCTGCGGCGGCCGAGAGGTCGTATTTGTCTACGTAACTAGCGCGAAAATAAATAGTAGTCGAAATCAATTAGGGACACGACGATAGGGTTACGCGGTGAACAGTCTGTGACGGGACGCGTGCAATAAATAAAGGGAGAAATAGGGAAACACATTATTTAAATGCGTATAAATAATTAAGTAAATAAATAAATAAATAAACATATAATTAAATAAATGAACAAGTAAAAAGAGAAATAAATAATAATACATATATTGTTATATATTGTACGTATAAGCATAGATGTATTTCCTCTGTCTGTACGCATCAATCTCATTAAAAATAAATAACTGAAACAGTAACGATAACGAAGAATTTTAACGACGCGATCTCAATGTATTTATTCACAGTATACGTAGTGCATAGCAGTTTACATTACTGTTGTCCTCACAGTCTTTATATTATATATATATATATATATATATATATATATATATATAACTATATTATACGAGTTCGCATGATTGCAGGACTCTAGCGGATTTACTGTATATATATATATATATATATATTATATATATATATCAATATACAGTAAAATCCCG